AAGACAACTACCAGCCAAGCACAGCGAGTCCTGCACTGTCAGGTCACACAAACACTCTCACAAAGGCTCTGCAGCACCTGCTGCTCTGTTTGTGCATTCTGCAGGGGATGGAAGTGATGAACTCTGACCACCCAAAGCAGCTCGTGACCCACCTGGGCACATCTGTGTGCTCTCAGCTCAAGGACTATTAAATGCACTGTTCCAAGTTAGAAAGTGAAATTTAATCCTCAGGTTGGAGATGTATCTGAAATGACTCCAAATAAAAATCAGAGCTGTATTTTGCCATTATTTCTCCTCACTTGTTTTCTATGCTCACAATTACCAGGGAGAAGCTGCTGGAGGAGCTTTTCTACTGGTACATTTCTCTTGTTTCAGTCTTAAAATGAGCATCCATACCTGCCCTCTGTCGTCCCTGCACTTCTCACGAGCTTGAGCAAACACAGGAAAGCAGCTCAGGTTGGTTTTACCCCTGTGCCTGTTCTGGAGGCACCACCAGGCCAGATCCAAGTGCTGCCAGACACCAAAGACTTTAAAGCACAACTAACTGAAATTTCACAAATTAATAGACATTTCCCTTGTGATTTTGCCTTAAGGTTATTTTTCATGCAAGCTAAATAATAAACTAAACTTGATTTTCAAGTATCCTTTCAGCTCTGACTTTATATGAGCTGGATCTATGGACATGACCTATGGACACACCAACATCCTGTTCAGTTCTCCCTCCTCAGACTCCTCCAAGCTTTCTATCTCATAAAAATAGGATTAAACTGCAAAAACTAGGAAAACTGCTAAGGTCTGTCTCAATGAGAAACATTATTTAACCCCAAAACTCCAAGAATCTTGAGTTTGTGTGTCTACCTGACAAGGCAGCCAGGATGACACTGTTTCCCTTTGCTCAGGCTCCTGCAGTGAGCAGCTCCCACAAGCAGGAGCAGCTCTTGGAGAGTCTGCAAATATCCTCAGAAAGTTGATTTTCTATCAAATCCAGAAGCACCCTCACTAGATTTTTCTCATTTTGCTGAAAGGAACCTTATCAACCATTGCTTTTCATTCTCACAAACAGGAAATCTTTTACACATGATCAAGGAAGTCAGAGGCTTGTCCCAAACAAAAGGCACAATCTCCCAAGTTTCTGACAGGTCTTCATTTTCCTGAAACGATAAATCAGCAAGCATGGATGACTGCATTCTGCTCACTTCTTGCTTCAATTTACTGCACCTAAGGGAAAAAGGGTAACAAAAGGTGTAATTAATACCTACGTGGATGCTCTGGGCCCTCAGCCAGTGGCTGTGCCCTCAGCCCGGAGTGTTCTCACTGAACAGCTCTGATTGTAGATAACAGACACAGCTATGATGTTTAGATATTTAGATACAGAGAAAAGCAGGGACAACAATCTCCTGGGCCACCAAAGAGGGTGTAGG